CATATAACTTCGTCTTAGCAATATCTTGTGGATAATCATCACCCCAAATTATTATGTATTATTGGATGTTGGCCGACAAGGGCTAAAAGCCTAACTTTAAGAATGACAGAACGCAATGCTAACCACGTGGCTGGTGCGGTTGCCGCAGATTTGAATTTTTGACAATAACTCTACAATTCATCTGGCAGTACTTAAAAAAAACTGTTGCATTACACCAACATACGAGGGGATTAACAAAAGCTCGGTAAGTTGATCAGACAAAAAATGATCATTTTTCTATTTATTTGTAATCTTGGTTCTTTTTCGTATACTCTACATAATCATATAGAACCATTTCTGAAAAAAGTCTTAAAAAATCTTGCTTTTTAAGCTTATAAAGTTCTACGACAACAGCTACGATTTCAGATCGTGTGAAGTTAACTGACATTATTACTTTTGCTGCTGCCTTTCCTGCTTAGATTTTAGGTGTGGGTTTGCTTCTGTTGGGCTCCATACCATGGATTGCCGTTTGGTTTCTAGATCGCACTTATAGAACCAAGATTCGTCACCAATACCGACTTCATGAAAGTTGCTAGATTAACCATTTTCGATTTTGTTTAGGAAAATTTGAGAAAAATGCTCTCGAGCTTCTTTTTGGGCCGCATTTAAAGTTCGTGATACTCATCGAGCAGACTTCTTCGAGCATTCCAGATAATAACTTAAAATTTGCGATTAATCATTTCTTGTGTCAATCGTGGTTTTTTGTCAATTTTGGACTTAACCAGAGCTACAGTGACGTCATCACTGGAAGATGTTGGTCGACCTTCTCGGAGCTCGTCTTCTACGGAAAAAATGTCCGGTATAGAATCTTCGGTACTTTTTAGAAATGGTCTTTAAGGACAGGGGAATCGCATATGTAATTTGGCATTCACTAAATATATGGATTGGCTGTAAATTACGCCGAAACCTGAAGAGAATTACATCGTGAATTTCTGGTTGCGTGGGTGATGGACTTTCGTCTGACCTATGCTCAGCTATCTTTCTTTTTCTCATCTCCATATTAGGCGATCGTTCTAAAATTTGAAAGGAAGACTAACAAAATAATTGCAAAGGATTTGGTATTTTTAGATTGAACAAAAACAAATTTGAAGTCACCAACTGACCGAACCTTTGTTAATTCCCCCGTATTAGAATTTATTTTTAACAAAATACCGTAGATCACAGGTGTTTGAAAATAATCAACTGATTTTGAATGCAGATTAATGGAATCATACTAATATTGCCATTTGACAATTGAACTTTGTCACCTACAATGGCACATACATACATATGTTTATAAGGGCGAGCGTGACATTTCCAAAACATTTATCATGTGAACGCAATCGAAACACAATCAACCCAATCTGAGCTGCCGTTCTGCGAATATCGTGGTCTATTTGTAATGCAATCGCGTCAGCAACATCAGCGCGTCAGTTGTGCTAACAAGTGCAATTTATGAATGAATACAACAACTAAGCGAAGCACTTGAACTGCTGCCAAATATATATATATATGTGTGTACGAGTATGTAACGGTATGGCTGTGCATTGCTTACCTCTGTATACGAAATTCAACTAAATCATCCACACGTACGTTAAATCAGTCTTCAGTGGGAGAAAAGTGTGCTAAAGCAGGCAAAATATTTATTACAGAATCGAAATGAAAATTCATTTTCTTTTTTGAAACCAAAAATTATTAAGTTTTTTGCACATTTAGAGTATATTTTTTTTTTTGATAATTTTTTTAGTTTTTTTTTCATTTAATTTTATTTTTAATATTGAACGGGCTCATAGAACTTTGGACGAACTTTCCACTGATTTGATTCGGTGACTTCTTTATTAATTTTCCACTAATAAAAGAATCATTCAAGGGACCCGATTCCAGCCACTCGAATGTTGTCGTAATTCCTTACACTTCTTTTTACTTTATTGAAATTAATGTATTTAAAATTTACCTTTTGTAGTTGGGCCTTATTTCTATGATCACCACTGTACTGATGTAGCTAAGCGTCCGCTATGTTATTTGATTTGTCAATTTGTTGCATGCATCTCTTATTTCCTGTTGCTTTTTTTATGTGGAAGAACATCAAATTTATGTACCGTTTGCAGACGTGTCGAAGCGCACGAAATACGATTTATAACGAAGAGTTGCTGCTGATAGTGTTGGGAGGTTAACGCTGTTGCTTGTGTGACACCTGCAAGTGTTGATTTTAAACTTGACGAAAAGACAGGGCCGGCTTGAGGGGACGCAAGGTGAGCGGCAATTAAATTTGGGTTCTACCGCAGTGACTTAAAAAGACTTTCTGCTGAATTTATATCAGGCGAATAATTTTTTATACATAAAAGATGCCTTTTTTGAGTTCTGCAAATGAACATAAAAAAAAAAAATTTCAAAACCAGAGGAAGAAGTCAAAATCAGAATGATCGTCCGTAGATCAGCCCATTTTGTCGAGTACAAGCGCTTCCGGAGACATAGATTTGTACAAACGCAAGCTGTCTCATAAGAAACTAAACTCATAAGAAACTAGACTTTTTCCTTTTTGAACTATAGTATATTTGAGTTTAGACATCTGTAATGACGTTCTCGGTGCTTGAAATATTCAGTTAACGGTCAATAACCGCGCCATGATTTCTGCTTTCTCCCAGACTAGTAGTGAACAAGGAAAAGACGTAATATCTCCTGTCTTAAAGCAAACAGTCATCGTATTCGCGACTCAGCTTCCGCGTTATTGTTGGCAGTCATAACGTGAAGTCGTCAATAACTTTGTCTATTTTGGAACCGGCATTAACCCCAACAACAATTTTAGCTTTGAAATCCATCGCAGAATCTTTCTTATCAGCTGGTTCTACTCTTGACTGAGTAGGCAATTGAAAAGTACAGTTCTCCCTCGATGAGCAAAGAGTAAACTCGACAAGTAGATCATCGTTCTCGTCCTGATATATATGGTACAGAGGCATGTATTATTCTACAACTCTGCCATCCCCCTCAAAGTAGTCCCTTTGGGCAGCTATACATCGATTTCAGCACGTTTTTCAGGCTTCGTAACATTTCTTTGTGGACGATTCCACGGCTATCAAAAAAGGCAATAATCATCGTTTTCACCTTCGGCTTACTCATGCGAGATTGTTTCGGGCGGGTGGCGTGCGGAGACAATCATTGTGAGCTTTGGCATTTGGTTTCCTGGTCGTATTGAAAAAACCAGATCTTTACGCCTGTAATAACTCGATCAAGCAGCGGTGATTCAACGCAAATTTTTTCCATTACTTTGTTGTCACACCTCCTATTTGAGTGGTTGTATGATTTATTTTTATAACAATAAAATTATGAATTCCTATTTTATAAGGAAATAAAGTAAAAGTGGTAAAAAAATTGTCCGAGGGAATATCTCTCCAATTACGCCTTGCGTTTGCTGCTATAAATGCCGCTCCTGTGCAGAGATATTATTATGAGATAATTTACATATATATGTGTGTGAGTTATGCATTTTGTATTCCTCATAAATTATGAAAGTATGTAAGCAACTGCGAGCTTTTTGTAAGCAGTTTTAAGACTTCCAATGAAGTAATTAAGGTTTGAATGATTTTAATAAACGGATATTGCAGAAAACCACTAAACTCTGGAGGTCTTGTTATGAAGTTTCATTGAAAGGTATGCAAGTAATTGCCAAAGAAGATGCGAACTTTATAATAATTTTATTTATTGAGATATTTTCCTATTTAATTTACATAGCCTCAGTGCTTTGTTTAATATCGAGACTATGTAATATCTAAATAAAACTTCAACGCACAGGATGAAAAATATCATAACTAAGCACACAGTGAATTTATCGATATATTAAGAGCTTTTAGCGCAGCAGAGACTGCAGAGGCCGAGTGGTTAACAGCGAGTGTTACTCCTCATAACCATAATCAACCTCTCTCTGGCTGACATGAATAAAAATATCTTTACAAACGTACGGCGCCAGTTTAGAATATACTGTACATCTCACCTGTTGAGCTCTATACCATGAACTGCTGTTTGGTTTCTGGATCGTACTATAAAATCACCAAATAAACCATCGAGCAGATTTCTTCGTGCATTCCAGATGATTACTTAATATCCACGATGCAGCCATGATATTCAAGCCCAATTCATTAGCAATCACTTGTTGTGTCAATTGTGGGTCTTCGTCCATTATGTACTTCACCAGAGCTACACTGACGTCACCAATGGTAGATTTTAATCAACCTTCTTGGGCTTCATCCCTTACGGAAACATGTACGGTCTGGAATCTTCGCAACCACTTTAAAATAGTCTTCAAAGACGTTGAAATGGTTACCCTGCGTTTTCTCGTTTAGTCGATCGTTCTGAAATTTAGAGAGGAAGACTAATAAAGTAGTTGCAAAGGATTTAATAATTTTAGATTTAATAAAAACAAATTGTAAGTGAACTATTAACCGAAGTTTTGTTAATCCCCTCGTATTTCCTCCTTATGATGTTCAACGACTTGCTAAGAAACTGAATTCCAATGAATTAAAAGTTACCGATCATTTATTTGAGGTATCTTTACATTACTAAAAGAGTCTGCTCCAGTTTTTGTCAGCCAATTTTCTCTCCACTACGACCTGGCAATCTTTATAGCAGCTGGTTTTTGCGACCTTTAGGGAAACCAAGAGTTCCACGTAGGGAGCTGGAAATGTCGTCTCACAATTCTCTTATACCAAATTGCTGCTGAGTGTTTTCAGAAAGCAGGTTTGTTGGTCGCATAAAGCGAGCACCGTACGGCTGTTTGTTGTGATTGCAGTTTTTCGACGGCGAGCCTTCATTATACTGCTTGTATGGAAATTCCTGAATTATATGTATTTTTGCTTAGGGTTAATGCTGAGAAAACTAGCAAGATGTCGGCTTTTTTTGTACAAAAGTCTTATGTGCGAGTCACTTCAATTATTTCTTACTCTCTATTCTTTAAAAATATTTCAATTGCATTTTCTTTCTTTTTTCAGTCTTACCACGTGACGGTCCACATATTCGTGGCCAACAAAATCAGTACCAGATTGGTGATACGCTGAGTTTAAATTGCACATCGGGAAAATCACATCCAGCATCAAAATTGCAGTGGCTCATTAATGATCAGCTGGTAAGTGCTGTTGAATATTTGAAAACACATTTTTTCAAAAACTCTTTGAGGCATTGGCGAGTAAAATATTTCAAAAGCAATAAGATTTCAGATTTTTTTTATTTTTAATATACCTAGAATAATACATTGTAACAGCACTAACCCTAGGCCAACCGATGGTAGTAAAAAGAAATTTAATTTGCATTATTAATACCCACAAACGGCTCGCAGTTCACAGTGAAGAATAATTTCAAATTTTGAATTAGGCCTTTAAATATAGTGTAACTTTTATATTATTATTTCTATATTAAAAATAATTTGGCACATCGCTAATATAACTCAATATATCAACACATCCCTCATGCAATTGCATAACCGTCGTCTTGTAAATGTTTTTGAGATTGATTTTTCCAGGAAATTAAGTACCTGCTAAGGAATTTGACTTTAATTTTCTTGTGCATCGAAGTTATTTCTTTATCTCGCACACGCGCAACTGAGCGCAGCACAAGGTATGTAGCTGTTGTTGGCTGCAAGCGTCGCATAAAACAATTTCCACTTACACAACTGCTGCTGGTTGTGCTTCACAAAGTTTGCTCGTTACTTATAATCCAACGGAAGTTTGTTGATTGTCTTTTGTTGTTGCACCGTATTTTTATTAACTTTTATATTTACATTTCTTTTTACGTTAATATTTTTTAACTTCCGTGTTGTTATCGTTGCTTTTTCACTTTTCAATTTTAGTTTGATGCAAGCGCACTTTGTGTAGTCTACTTTAAGGCGGCCAATCAAAGTTTTAAGCCAAGCAAAACAAATTTTCCTATTGTTCCACTCAAACTGCGTCGTGTTGTTTTGTACTTGTTGTTCTCTTGTTTTTCAATTGGCATTGTTTATTTATTAATTTTTTATTTCATCTTCTTTTTTGCCTTTTATTTCCGCATTTCGCCAATACTTTGCCTACTAAAGTGCGCCACTTTCGCTTTGTTCCATTATTGTTTTGTTCGTTCATTTGTTTCATGCTTCATTGGATTTTCATTCGAATGCTTACTTGTTCTCTCTTCGGCGTTTTAGTCAATTCTTTTTTTTTCTTTGGTCAATTTGTGTAGCGGCAGTTGGTTTCCATTGCTTTTAACATTGTTGTAAGTTGTGGCGTTTTTTTGTTTTTGTTTTTTTCTGGAAAATATTAATATTTTAAAGTTTTTTCCTCTCTTTTCGCATTCGTTCTTTGTTATATTCAATTGTTCAGCTTCTAATGACTTATGGTCATCTGTTGCGAACAAAGCTGATTGACAATATTCGTAATGATTTATCCCTCATTATGTTGTTTTGAACAGATAATTAATAGTTGAAAAAATAATATTTTTTTTATTAGTTTAAAATTGAGAAAATATTATAAGGAAAAGTTTTCTGAATATGTCTTTTGCTCTCAAAATAAAAATAGCAAGGACAAAATGAAATTTTGGGGGTCTACTACATGAGGAAAACAAAAAAGTAGATGTGAATTAATAAGAATTTTTTATTTTTTTAATACTTTAATAACCTAACAGTTTGGGAACTACATGATAAATAGAATATTCCAAAGAAATATCCGAAAAAGTTTAGATAATGGCACCTGCAAACGATTTAAGGATTATGGTTTGAGAGCTCATGCAGAGAACTTATAAAATTGGATGAGTGCATAAGTTCGTGCCCGATTCCGCTGGATACCGTTCGAATCGTTTGAGAGTGGCGCTCGTGAAAGANCTTTAATCCTTTGCTCTACCAACAGTGAGGAAAGTACTTGGTCAAATATTGTATTTCCGTGAAGTGTCCGTCATGCTTTATCTATATATCTTCTGCTTACAAGTGTATTATAAATATATACAGTCAGAGTCATAAGTCTACAAGCAGGCAGTAGCGGCACAGTGCTAGAGTGCACACATCTTTAGTCACTCGCTAAAAACTGAGAGAGCTTGTATGCACTCATCAGTAGTAGTATAGTGGTAGTTTTGCTTTATGCTAAATTATCAAATTTATTAGTTTACAGCCAAATTTTAAGACAATAGAGAATCCCTTTCCCGAGATTTTTTTGCTCTGTAGAGACTTCAATCGGGCATCGAATCAAAATTCAATTGCACCTTCTCGTTACTATAAGTTCTCTGCTCATATCTATTATGTCTGATCCTCAATTAAGTAACTGCCGCTGACCAGCTCGTGGCTGCATAAGAACCTCCCAACAAAGCTCTCGGAGTTACTGGCGAGTCACTATCGATATTTGTAGTATCAAAGAAAAAAAAAAAAAAAAAAAAAAGAACTCCCCGTCAGTTGAGTTGGACAAAGCTGGGACCTTGCGCTACACTTGTGTTTGAAAGTAAAAAAATATATTTAGTATACCAGGCAGGTTCATGTGTTAAAAATTTAGGTGTTGTTGTCACTCATGTTTTAAGACTTCTCAAACTTTCCTATATTTCATAAAGTAGTATCTGTATAATGGTCAGAAAATTTTGAGAATTTAATGAGTTTACTCATATTATCTAGCAATTTTAATATGGAGCCCACTAATGAACATTTTCGCCATATCTTACATTTTATTCTTTCCTTAAAGGAAATATTGCAGCGAAGGTTGCTAAAAAATTGCATTATGTGAATGGTCATAAGGCCTCAAAAAAACGATGTCTAAGTAATAAGTTGACAAACCAAAATCCGTTTGGGGAATTTTTCACTTAAAGTTATTGAATTTGAGATATCAAGGCTTCAATAAAATCGAATCGTCATGTAACTGATCGTGAGATTGGAGAGAAGTTAAGTATACCAAAATTAGCCGTTCATTATCATATATGACGTCCCTGCAGGGGTAAGCCAATTAGTATGCAAAAACTCTAGTTAAATACTAGTATGTTGAAGACAAAATTATACCAGTTCATTACATGTAAAGAAGTCCACCCCATTAACGGGAAAAATAACAATTTCCACCACTGTGTGTTGTTTTTATTTCGGCAGAATGCGGCTGAAATCCATTCTCTNAGCCCACTAATGAACATTTTCGCCATATCTTACATTTTATTCTTTCCTTAAAGGAAATATTGCAGCGAAGGTTGCTAAAAAATTGCATTATGTGAATGGTTATAAGGCCTCAAAAAAACGATGTCTAAGTAATAAGTTGACAAACCAAAATCCGTTTGGGGAATTTTTCACTTAAAGTTATTGAATTCGAGATATCAAGGCTTCAATAAAATCGAATCGTCATTTAACTGAGCGTGAGATTGGAGAGAAGTTAAGTATACCAAAATCAGACGTTCATTATCGTATATGACGTCCCTGCAGGGGTAAGCCAATTAGTATGCAAAAACTCTAGTTAAATACTAGTATGTTGAAGACAAAATTATACCAGTTCATTAACGGGAAAAATAACAATTTCCACCACTGTGTGTTGTTTTTATTTCGGCAGAATGCGGCTGAAATCCATTCTCTGCTCAGTTTTAATGGAGTGCGCAAAATACCATTGGTAGTTGCAACGGCATGACAGCCGAGTAGTTAGAGTCTATCGTTGTAGCGCATTAATCCCTCGGTTCGAGTTCCGCTATAGGCAAATTGATTTTAATATTAATTTATTTTTAATTTTCGGTGAAACAGAAATTTTTAATTTAAATTTTTTTTTTATTTTTTGGTGAAACAGAAATTTTTAATTTTAATTTCTTTTTAATTTTTGGTGAAATAAAAATTTTCACCTCCACGTCGTTCGTGTGTTGTTTTTGTTTTTAATATGACACCACTGAGTTTCATTTACTAAAAAGTTCGTTTGATATATCAAAACGATAGTCTTTGGATTAAAGGTCTTCATAGTAGTGCGTGGGGGTCTCGGTTTCGATTCTCGCAGCTGGCAAATTTAATTCTATTTGATTAAGTTTTTTTCTTTTGTGAAGTAGAAATTCAACATGCTTAAATGAAGTAGTATTAAACTAGTATGAAGTTGATGCCTCGTAGAACAATTGTCAGCTCGTAGGATATCGCCGTGTTAAAAATACCATTTGCTTACATGGAAAATGGATGAAGATGAACTAGTTGTACTGTATTGTAGTTGAATTCCAGTTGACGACTAGTACTTTCACCTGCTGGGGTCTTGTACTGGTAAAAAAACTTATATTTGGGTACCATATGAATTGAAAGAAATTCATTGGACGAGCCGCTTCAACCCCGTGATATGCATCTTGAACCCAATGAATGTAATCAGTTTTCGAAGCAAATCATAATTGGAGATGAAAAATGGTTTGTTTACAATAACGTCAATCGAGAACGATCATGGTCCAAGCATGCTGAAGCGCCACAAGCCGCTTCAAAGGCTGATATTCACCAAAAGAAGTCTCTGCTGTCAGTTTGGTAGAATTTGGAAGGTGTGGTAAATTTTTGACCTGCTTCTTAACAACCAAACGATTTACTCGGATGTCTACTATGAACAACTGGACATATTGACTACATACTTCAACAAGAAGCGGCCGGAATTGGTCTATGGTAAGGTGTCATATTCCAGCGGCACAGTGCTAGAGTGCACACATCTTTAGTCACTCGCTAAAAACTGAGAGAGCTTGGCTGGGAACTGTTGATGCATCTACTATATAGCCCTGAACTTGCACCGTCAGACCACCAATTGTTTTGATCTTTTGCAGAATTCATTGGATGGTAAAACTTTCGTAAAAGACGAGGCTATAAAATCACACTTGGTTCAGTTTTTTGCAAATAAAGGCCGAAAGTTTTACAAGCGTGGAATGATGATTTCACGGGAAAGATGGCGAAAGGTCAGCCCGCAAAATGGAAACTACGTAATTATTTGGGACTTATTTGTTAGTACCAGTTGCTGGATTTTTGTTTGAGGTGTTCGTTTCGTATTTATTGTTTTAAGGAACTTTTTTATGTACAAGTTTTGGGTATTTACAAGGAGAAGTGGAGCTGCTTCCTTGGCAGTCCTTTTTTTGCTAGCTCATTACTAGTTAAGCTTAAATGTACAGTTATCCAAAGAAGTCTTATCTTTGGCATATGCTTGATTAGAAGTGTCCTAATGGCTGTTGGATAGATTTCATTATTATTGATATTTGAAATTTATTTTAAGGCTGATAGAGAGCCAGCAAATTCATCCTGTCCACCAATTCTGTCTTGGAAGCAGCTTGCGCCGACTCACTGACCTTCGACGATAACCGTTTTCATTTGACTTTGCTGCAAGTTACCCAATTTCAATCACCAGTCACCATCCCCAACAGAAATGGTTTGATTTTTTTATTATTTAACAACGATTTCCATATGAAATTTCGATTCATGAGGTTTTTTCTCCTTGATTTATGACGCACATATATGTCGGGCTTCCAAGTGTTTCAAACCTTCTTTAAGTAGTTCCCAACTGTTTTTTGTGCAATGCTTAGCTTCTGGGCAATTGGTCTTCTACACCGTGGAGCATATTTTACAACAAAATTACCGCAACGAATTCGATGAAACCAAAGCTGTACATCATTTACTGTTCCTGCGCCAGATAAGATTGGTCAGAAAACTTAGAGAGAGGGGTATTACTGTTAACGGATTTTGTCTCTCAAAGGATCTCTTTACCACAATTAATCATAAAAAATACCAACTAGAGACTCCTTTTTGAATTCGGGCGCACTGTGCAGCGGCCCAAATGATGTCCAACTAAATCGATCCAGTGTTTTAGATGTGCGTACACTTTTATGGCCTATTATCGACTCGGCTCAATATCTTGCGGCTGAGGAAACAAGCATTCTCTCCCTTGCAGCAAAGGTTAGCTGTCAACAAGCACAAATTAGGTTCGATACTTTAAAGCTGCCATTACAGCAGATAGCTAGCCGTTTTTCTACTCGACTTGCACTCGTGCTTTCTGAGATCACTTCTATATTTTGAGAGTAGTTCTCATCTAACCAGTGTAAGCGAGATGTGGTGGGTGCAACATCTCAAGGTCTCTACGTATCGCCTTTAAGGAAACAATTAACTTTCGCCGATGTCGACAGAAAAGATAGTACGTTGAGGATTCCTATTGGGCAGTGGGGCATGATCACGGAAATAGCCGATTGAAACGCAGTGCCGGCAGAGTTTGAGAACTGGTTCGAGTAATATACCAGCAGATGGTAACTACTAGAGCCTAGCTTTGGATTGTGGGATGCGTCATCCAGCAAATCATAGGCATTCCTTTGAAAGCCCATATTACAAACCTATATCTGGAAATCATTGAGTTTTCTTGGAAAAATTAAGCACTCTTGGTTACACTCTCTTAACCATTCTCCTTAATGCCCTCGTTCGAAAGCAAAAAATTTTCGGGAAATCGTTGATACATTGAATGTCCTCAGGCTGGCGGGTTCTGTTTTGATTTAGACCCAAAACTTTAATCCTTTGCTCTACCAACAGTGAGGAAAGTACTTGGTCAAATATTGTATTTCCGTGAAGTGTCCGTCATGCTTTATCTATATATCTTCTGCTTACAAGTGTATTATAAATATATACAGTCAGAGTCATAAGTCTACAAGCAGGCAGTATGAAAATGTTTGTTTCAAATTTTTTTTTAAATTAAGTAATTTATTGAATTCAAATTTTACTATTCTTATACAATATTAAATGTAGAATGGTGGCGCCAAAATTCTTTGCACGTGTTCGCAAAACAGACGAGATAACGGTAATTTTAGTTTTCAACGTAACAATTCAAGCGATCAAAAGTCTACAAGCACTTAGTACTATCGCGGTATTTGTACGTGTTGTATGTTAATTTTTGAATAATTTTTATTGCATTATATTGAATTCATATTAATTTATCAGAAAAGTGAAAATAAATCTTAAACTTCTATAAACCTGCTCTGGAAAACCACGATGGCGTCTAAACGGAAAGAAATCAGTGTCGATGAGAGAAATATTATTATTAAATTCTGGCAGGAAGGGAAATCAAATCGGGAAATTGGTTGTTTAGTTGGAAGATCACACTGCTCGATCTATACCGTTATAAAAAACTTCAAAAGTACAGGAATTATCACGTCAAAGGCCCGATCTGGTCGTCCACCGAAGCTCACCGTCCGTGAAAGTCGTTCAATATTGAGTGCGGTGAAGAAAAATCCGCGATTAACTGCATTGTCAATTGCCCAAGATGTGCAAGAAAGATTTGCGAAAAATATTTCCATGGTTACTGCGCGAAGAATTTTGAGACGGGCTGGTTTTCATAGTCGAGTAGCACGAAAAAAACCACTTGTTTCACGTATTAATCGAAAAAAGCGTATTGCTTTCGCAAATAAATATGTAAACATGCCGGTTGAGTTCTGGAATAATGTACTTTTCTCCGATGAATCGAAGTACTGCATATTTGGCATAAAAGGACGCAAATTAGTATGGCGTAAGACAGGTGAAGCTTACAACAAATGCAATATTTATCCAACGGTGAAACATGGAGGTGGCGGTGTGATGGTCTGGGGCTGTATGTCAGCCAGTGGCACGGGACACTTGGAATTTTGAAGCGTAATATGCGGACGAGCGCTGAAAAATTAGGAATGCCCGTTTTTTATTTTCAACATGATAATGATCCCAAACATACTGCGGAAATTGTACGACTTTGTTTACTCTATAACGCCTCCAAACAACTACACACGCCTCCACAGTCACCCGATTTAAACCCAATTGAGCATTTATGGGCACTTTTGGAAAGGAAAATACGCAATCATTCAATATCGAGTAGGCAGCAGCTTAAAAACGTGATATTAAAAGAGTGGGCTGAAATAACACCTCAGGAAACGAGCAAACTTGTAAGTTCAATGAAAAACCGTTTGATGGAGGTTCTAAAGCTCCGCGGATATCCGACTCGTTATTAAAAGGTATAAAAAGTTTAAATTTTACTAAGTAACCCCTTCATATGTTAACTGCTTGTAGAATTTTGATCGCTGGAATTGTTACGTTGAAAACTAAAAGTACCGTTATCTCGTCTGTTTTGCGAACACGTGCAAAGAATTTTGGCGCCACCATTCTACATTTAATATTGTATAAGAATAGTAAAATTTGAATTCAATAAATTACTTAATTTAAAAAAAATTTGAAACAAACATTTTCATACTGCCTGCTTGTAGACTTATGACTCTGACTGTAAATACATAAGCATCGTAAAATATTACTAACAATTCTATTGCAGTGGGATATCGTAAGCGCTTTATGCAGTTTATAACCGACACTGGTGCAGCTGTGGCACGCCACTGTGGCAACACCACACATTTATTAACTTAAACATTTGCAACTACTAACGGTGTTGTCTTCATGCCGTCATTACTGTTGGAAATTAATGAAAATCATTTGTATGCCACACGCATTCTACATGCTCGCAACGAGTGGCATTAATTCAGCATACATACAAACATACACATTTACATTAAGAAGCAGATACTGCGTGAGTCACTTTCAGCACATATGTTTTCCTTGCGAAATTACAACTATAAAATCATTGTAAATTACCAAGAATGTGTGTACAGTAACTCTGCTCGAGCTAAGTTTATATATATAAAGGTTAGCCAGAAAGTGACTCAATACTTTGTGCAACATAAATTTTACTGTTTTGCTGACGCGGTTAAATAAATTTTTAATTTTCGAAGATCTTAAATTAGCGAACAAGGGATAATCTAAGTTTCGAATAATTAACTCTTCTTCTGGGTTTAGTCCTCAAATTGGTTTTTCATGCTTTTGACACACTTGTATTGAGTTTTTTTCTGCAATTTATTTTCCAAAAATTCCCCGAAAATCCACTTGGGGTATTTGTTCCCCGGTTATTACAACCACAACAGCAAGAGCGTGGCGCTCGACATTCTCCATATTTTTTACTTTTTTGTTTCTCATGCGCTTTAATTATGTATGTGTATTATTGCCACAATCGCAGTGGCACTGCTGAATGGCATCGAAATAAGAATATTGGTCTTTTATTTGAGGTTTCTTTATTGTAGCATCAAATAAAAAGAGAAAATTCAACTATACCATTAATATTTAAGCCACGAAAATTAATGAGTAGGTCCGTGCATATACATTTACTAGTATTCACCGCCACATAAACAAATACTCTGTGTATTAATAAGTTCTTATTTAGGAGTATGTAAGTACTTGCTCGCATGGTCGCTATTGCGCCACAAAGTATGCTGCAACACCATACTATCTGCTAATGTGGTGAATTTTGTCTTTATCTTGAGCTTCGCTGCAGGGCAACAATGAATCTGCATAAATAATTGTGCCTTCCCTTGTTGGCGGTCGACAAGTGTCGGCTGTCGGTTGTCGGATGTCGACTGCTATTTAGTGGTGCATTTTGTATTTCGGCAGTATTCAAGTGTCTCGTTGGCGTTGATAATTGCCACTGGCAGCTGGCAGACAATTCAATTTTGCCGAAATAATTGAGTTTCCTCACAACAAATTTAAATACAAAAACGGTTATGCAAAATTTATGTGTAAATAAATGCATTTAAATATGCTGAAAAAATAAAATAAAATAAGTTGCAACTTAATAAATTATATTATTAATTTAAATAATTATTGTCGTGCTACCAGAAACAGGCAATGCACACACGTAATAAATTATGAACATCATTTTATTTTTATTTTCATACCTTAATTATTTTTCTAAGACCTTAATTTGTTTTTCTTATTTCATTTTGTTTTATTTCTGCTTTTTTTATTACTATAGTTTAATAGTTTAATTTATTTTACAATAATTTAAATAAAATTTTGTTTATTTTCTTTTATTTTAATTTTATAAATTTATTTTAATTTATTTAAGTTTTATAATTTTATTTAACTTTATTTTATTTTTATATTTTTTTTTTATTTTAGTTTAATTTATTTTATTATATTTTATTTTAATTATTTTATTTTATTTTATTTTTTTCATTTAAATTAAATTTATTTAAATATATTAATATTTAATTTTATTTAATATTGTTTTATTTTATTTTATTTATTTAAAAATTTTTTATTTTATAATGTAATATTGTATTTTAGTTTATTTTATTATATATTATTTTTATTTTATTTTATTTAGTTTATCTTTATTTTATTTTTCATTATTTAATTTCATTTTATTTTATTTTCGTTAATTTCATTTTTTTTGTTGTATTTTAATTATTTAAATTTTTTTATTTTATATATATAAAATTAAATTTAAGTTTATTTTATTTTTTATATATTGTTTTTATTTATATTTATTTAATTTTATTATATTTTATTTTTTATTATTTTATTTCATTTTATTTTATTTTTGTTTATTTAATTTTTTTTAACTTAACTTTATTTTATTTTATTTATTTGAAATTTTTTATTTTATTATATAATAATTTATTTTAGTTTATTATATATTATTTTTATTTAATTTAATTTAAATTAATTATGTTTTATTTTTTATTATTTTTTCTATTTTATCTTATATTTGTTAATTTTATTTTTTTTACTTTACTCTATTTTATTAATTTATTTTTTTTATATTCTTATATAATATTTTATTTTAGTTTATTTTACTTTATTTCATTATATTTATTTAAAATTTTTTATTTTATAATATAATAATTTATTTTAGTTTATTTTATTTTTTATTATAATATTTTATTCCATTTTATCTTATTTTTGTTAATTTTATTCTTTGTTTTACATTACTTTATTTTATTTATTTACAATTTTTTATTTTATTATATACTATTTTATTTTGTTTTACTTTACTTAATTTTATTTTATTTATTTAAAATTTTTTATTTTATTATTAAATATTTTATTTTATTTTATTTAATTTTATTATATATTATTTTTTATTATTTTATTTCATTTTATTTTATTTTTGTTGATTTAATTTTTTTTACTTTACTTTATTTTATTTAATTGTATGGCATTTCTTTTATTGAATTTAATTTTATTTTATTTATTCAGTTTCTATGCGTTTTAATTTATCGATGCAGAATCTAAAAAACAGTTTCCCACATAGTTACGTGGGAAAGTTATGTTTGTAGCTTAAGCTCTCTTTTTCCCTAGACATGCCAGCTTGGGGCAAGAAAGTACACTAAGGACGAACAACACTTTCGAGCGCATAATGAATAATTCTTATGCAACTGTCTAAGGTTGCAAGTGTTGCACACCTTCATTTGCATTCATATCCATGTTTTGTTGCCCACATGTGTACATACAAATCAACATTAAAGTTCTTTGGCAATAAACCAGAAATTCGCTTCATTACAACCATTTGCTCAAATGTTACCCATACGATCTACGTTGTACGTTTGCACGTGCACAACTGCATACACACACATATTTATGCATACAAATTCGTCTTTATCTCGGCCTATATGTAAATGTGTGCGCTGTTGTTGTACATACAGATTCAGCCACTAAATACTCATTTAAATTGTAAGTAAGCGCTCAGCTATCTCTTGGAGCAGAGCCAATGTCTAACGTTGCCAAGCAAAGGAAATGTAAGTAAAACAACCACAGACACTTACTTACAACCCCACTTGTAGAATATACGTATGTTAAAGCGATAAAGGCAGGTAAGTTCCAGGTGAACAAATGTTAGCCTGTGATTTGCATAGAAAGTGCAACTTTTTTCTTTCAAGTAGATAAATGTCAGGAGATGAAAGAATAAAAAGGCACAAATGGGAGATAATTGAATCAAATTCCTAGCGTGGTGTAGCCATTAGCTTTTATGTGCAGAAGTTTTCATTAACATGCCTTGGCTGGAAAAA